CAGGAAGTTAAAAATGCACACTGCTCAGCCTGGGGGACATAGTGAGCAGATATCAGCTTCACAACCCCCAAAGTCATTGCTAGGTTCCCCAACTCGATTAGGCCCTCATCATCAGGATTTGCCCCCAAACTGCTTCCCTTTTTGAACAACTAGTGAAAAAAATCTCAAAATCTTGTCTGAATCCTGATTCAAATAAACCAACTATAAACATTTTTGAGACAATCAGGGAAATATGAATATGGGCTAGGTATTGGGATAAGCAAAAAATTAACTTTTTCCAGGTGAGGTAATAACCTTGCAGTGGTGTAAGAAAAATAGCCATAGTTTTTCAAGATGCATATTGAAGTATGGGAAGGTGAAAGGTATGATCTCTGGGGCCTGCTTTTAAAAGCTTCACAGAAGAAAAAAGGGGGAAGAATGGAAAGACAAGCAAGAGTGGCCAAGTGCTGATAATCGTTCCATCTGGGTGATGTGAATGAAAGGCCAGTGAACCATCGGTGCCACTCTTAGGATTGTTTGAAATAGTTCACAACATATTTTGGAAACTGAGTAGAAAGGCAGCTTGAAAGCTTTGCTTCTGTCCTTTTCTGGCTCTGCCTGCCTAGGCTGTCTCAACTCTCTCTCTCTCTGGTCACCAGATTCGTTTCCTCCCAAAGCCCCGCCTCTAAATAATTTGCTTAAGTCTGAGGCAGCCAAAAATGAATCAATAAAAAAAGCAAATGGCGCAGACCGCTGCAGCTCACCAGCCACTTCCTTTCTGGACTTTAATACTCATGAGAGATTGAAAGAAAGGAAAAAACAAATTATTATGGCCTGGGATATGCAGATTCCAGGGCTGCTTGCCTCTGGAAATGAGGTTCACATAGGCAAATTTCAGCTTTATCCTAAGGTTAGAGAAAATTTGGCTAAGATTTCTCCAATCTTAATGATTATTTGCTCCAAAAAGAACAAATAAGGAGCACAGAAGGGGGCTCTGGTGGCTGAAATTCACCAGCCAAGTATAAGGTGAACAAATCTGCACTGGGATGAAGCCCACACCTCTGGGCCTGGTCTCTGTCCCTCCCCTCCCAGGGGCCCCTGGCAGGGCCCTCAGGGGCAGCAGGCCCACAAGGCCCAGGGGTGAGGATCAAAGGTGGCTGAAGAGGCCCTGAGAAAGGACCCGAAAGCCCAAGTCCAAGTTCTTAAGAGGCAGCCACTCCATGTGTCGTTAACCCGTCTTCCCTTCATTCCTATCCCAGAATGCCATTTCCAGTCCTAAGTGCTCCCCTTCTTTCTGCAGCACCAGGATGGACAGACACATACTCTACACACACACACACACACACACACAACCACTGATGGCTTGGGTGCTTACACACACACACACACACACACACACAGCACTGGTGGCTTGGGTGCCACTGAGATTAGTATCCTACATTGTCTTCTCTCCTACTCCTCCCTGTATAATTATTTTGAATAGGGCATTTTAATCTGAAACCTAAACTATAAACCTATAAATTATTGAACTTAATGAATTGACTCGTGTCCCTCCCAAAATATGTTGGTGTCCTAACCCCTAGTTATATTATTGGTAAGTAGAGTCTTTGCAGATGTAATCAAGTTAAAATGAGGTCATTCTGGTTTAGGTGAGCCCTAATCCAATGGCCATTGTCCTTAAAAGACAGAAATTTGGACAGAAACCCAGGGGAGAAGGCACTGTGAAGACAGAGGCAGAGACAGGAGCAATGGATATCAAGATTGCCCGTAACACCAGAAGCTGAGACAAGGAACTACCCTTCCCTAGAGCCTCCAGAGAATGTGGCCCGATGACACCTGGATTTCAGACTTGTAATATCCGGAAGTGTGAGAATAAATTTGTTGTTAGAAGCCACCGAGGTTGTGGTAATTTGTTGTGGCAGCCTGAGGAAACTAATATAATTTGCTCGTCTAACCCTCACCACCACCCCAGGAGGTAGGAAATATTACTGTCCCTATATTCTAGACACAATTTCAAGTGTGTCTAAGTGAAGAGCCCGGCTTTCAGCCTGGACCACCTGGATCCCAGCCCATGTTCTTGACCAGGAAACCAAATGTCCTCCTGCTACTTGGATAAAATAACAGCCCTTTCTAAGTTTGCAAGTTGATAGAAAAACTTGGGTGCCCACTAGAATGGCTATAATAAATAAAACAGATAATAACAAGTACTGAGGAGGGTGTGGGGAAATCTGAACCCTCAAACATTGCTGCTGGGAATGTAAAATGGCATAACCACTTTGGAAAACACTCTGGTACTTTCTCAAATGGTTAAATAGTTGCCACATGGCCCAGCAATGACATTCCTAGGCAAACACACAAAAGAAATGAAAACATATATCCACACAAACACCTGTACATGAATGTTCACAGTGGCATTATTCATAAGAGCTAAAAAGTGAAAATAATTCAAATACTACTCAGTCAATTGATGAACAAATAATATATGGTATAGACATACAATAGGATATTATTCAGCCATAAAAAAGAACAGTGTTTAATATGCCACATCGTGGATGAACCTCAAAAACATTGTGTACAAAAAGGGTAGATTTATAAAGACAGAAAAGGGAATCAGTGGCTGTCTGGGGCTGAGGCTTGGAATAAGAATTCACTGTAAGTAAGAGATCTAACCAGGGGGCAAATGCGTTCTAAACTGATTTATAGCGATGGTTACACCACTCAGTAAAGTTATTTAAAATCGTTGAATCGTGTATTTGAAATGGATGAATTGATGATAAGTAAATTTTTAGGTTTTAGGACCTATATAGCTCAAGAGCTGGCCACTGTAGACTGTTTTGTTATTTTAAAACAGAGTGATGACACCATTTAGCTTTTCTAAAGTTTTCAAGGATAAAGTGCTTCATTTTATTTATCTGAACTTCAGGTGCAGAAAAATGCTAGAACGACTTAGAGCAGAAACGACAATGGGGCCAGGACCAAAACATTTCATTTGTACAGAGGCGAGGAAGCCACATCCCCCTTTCTTCAGAGCCTCTGAGAGGTTGATTTAGGAACCAATTAAGTAATGACAGCTTTTCTCCCTCATTCTGACATCACTGTCACCTGAGCCTGGTGGCAATGACTCCTCACTCGGCAATTCCAGCCACCCCAGCTGGAGTTCCTCAGCCACCTAGGGCAGCCCACAGCTCCATTCTTTGCCTAAGGACCAGATCCGAAGAGGCACCATAGTGTAGGGGGCGGCTGAAGCAGGGCCACCTGACAGCTCTCTCTCAGGACACGCTTTCAAACAGCCTTGCAGGGGATGCAAGCCCTTCTCCTGTCACCGGTGACTCTTCTTTTGGGAGATTCTGAAGGCTTGAGTCAGGCCCATTCATTCTTTACTTGAACTGGGTGACAGGATGACATATTAGCCTGGCTTTCCAGAATGGACTTCATCTTATTCCAGGATAGTGAGATGAAGTAGCCCTCGGCAGAAACCAGGCAAGGCAACAGATTCCATCTTTTCTCGGTCCCCTCCCAGTCAAGATTTCAGGCCCATCTTGGCCATCATCTCCTCGTAGACTGTCCACGCCATGGCTGCCATCAGAGTCCTGCGGAGGGCCCGGGGGACACCACCCTGGAAGAAGCCACGCAGCCCATAGTCCTATGAGGAAAATGAACGGTAAAACTCAGTTAATTATCAATACAATTACACACCTGGCACAAGAGTGAGGGTCTCTCTCTGTTAGCTCATTTTTGAGTCTTAATTTTTAGACTTTCACAAATAATGTCAAAACTGTGACTAATGGGTCCAAAGAGACAATGACCTTTAAAAAAGCATTTTTTTTTTGGCATAATTGCTAAGCTTTATCTTTTTTAGGCTTGCTCTATCCAGGTGAGTTTCTTAGCTAAAGATCTTCATACAGGGTTGCCGTGTACAGGTGTACAGTACACAGAAGCACCAGGCTCCAAGTGGCAGATGAAATCCAGACCAAGGCCGTCCACTTGCCGAGCCCTGGGCCCTGCCTCCAGGCTGAAGTAAAAAGGTATCTTTTTGAAAATTTGTCTGCCCAGAGGGAGTGTTTCTATTTTGTAATTCACTCTATGTTCCTGGTGGCCATATATAAGAATTAAAGACAAAACACTGCTTGTTCCTCCCTCAAAACCTGGATTAATGTGTTCATTCCTGTTGTTATCATTCCTGCCATTTTCATATATACTGAAGAATATATTTTCAAACTTTATGACTTGAGGTATAGAGAAGAAATCTGGCAACGGAAGCAGAGTGAGAAATCTAATCAGATTCACAAATATTTGTTTATATATAGGGTGAGACAGATTACTTGATGCATATGCTACACGTTTCCTCTGCTACATAGTACGGAAAAATCTAAAGACTTGGGTGATAAATTTACCATGAATAAGAATACACAGTGAGTGATAACAGTACAAGTTTCCAAAGGACCAACTCAATTGGCTTCTAAGTAGAACCTGAGTGCATTTTACATCACTGTCCTCTTTATTTTCAATAATATCATTTGTATGAAAATAAACCCTAAAAACAAAATAATGTGTTTGTGGTTTTTTTCTGACTACATTTCCTCCTGTAGAAACCAGGTAGGCGATTACTTGATGAGATTACTAGGTCCTCCCAGACCAACAGATGAGAATCATCTTAGCAGTGATTCTCTACCTTGGGAATGCACTGGAACTACTGGGGGACTTAAAATACCGATACCCCAGTTTCACCCCCCAGAGATTCTGATATAATCTGCCTAGGTTATGACCCATGAATAGGAATTTTTAAAAGCTTCCCAGGTGATTCTAGAGGGTGAGAGCCTTAACCACAATGAGAACAAATATTTGCTCTATCGCCTTACTTTGAAGATGAATGTCACTGCTTGGCCAATCCACTGAAATTTCACTGGAGAGAGCTGCATGTGAGTTTTGATAACATCTGCAGGCTGAGTTACCAGTGAGGCCAGAATACCAGCAAATATTCCACAGCTAAAATTTACAACAGGAATAAGGGCTGCATCCAATTGGTCTGAAATAGGACAAAGGCAACATTCGGTTATAAATAAATCTCACATTCATCAAATAAATGTCAATGCCAAGTTGCCCACTAATTCTTCCCAAAAGCCAGAAGGGTCTGGATTCAAAGAACGTTAAGAATTAAAAAATGAAAGCTATAACTCATAAATGTAGATGGAATAATTAAGTTAAAAAATTAACCTTTTTACAACCATCATCATAATTGATTCAAGCAAGAATCAATGACTGATGCTAAAACATATGGATGAAAAGAGCAAGATGTTTTATATGGATTTATACAGATTTAAAGTATCTCTCCCAGAGATACCTACCAATTACAAAAAATAAAAATAAAAATAAAAAATGCTATCATACCAAAGTGATAAAAAGTTTAGCAGCACCCACAATGGGTCAAACTGATGCCATGAGCTTCTTGAAGTAAGGCACTGGGGATATAATATCTTATATGGTTCTCTTACTAAAAATGTATAAATGAATCTAGTCACAAGGAAACGTCAGAAACAGCCAGGCTGAGGTTATAAAACTGGTCTATGCTCTTGAGAATAAAAAATAAAAATTGCTACAAAATATACTATTGGGACAATTGGAGAAATTAAAATTATAGATTGGACTATGGATTAAAGAATTGTAGCTATATTAAATATCCTAATTTGATAAGATAGTTCCATGAGGTTGTCTTTGTCCTCAGGAAACACACTGAGGTAGTTAGGAGTAAAGGGGCATCATGTGTGCAATGCACTCTTAAACAATGACACACAGAAAGAAAATAATAAAGGGCTATAGTTATTTGTATTATCCTTGTGGCTTTTTTTTTTTTTTGTAAGTTTAAAATGATTTCTAAATACTAAAACAACTTTTAAAGATGGATTGAGAAATTAAAAATGTATATCCAAGTTTCCTTATTGCCTTAATTTTCTACAGCAAAATAAGGCTGTGCCCTGCATCGTCGCCTCCTGGTGTCTGAGGAGAAGCGGTACATCTTCCAAAGCATCCCAACTGCAGCTGATCGCCACTGCAGCTGGCATTTCAGATTTCCCAATCATTAAATGATCTTGGTTGAGATGCTTTGCTCAAATTATCCATAGATGCCTTATTGAATGTAGGTTCATTCTACAGGACGCGTTTCTATCCATATCTGGCTCTGCTGGGGTGGATGTTCACTGCCCATTGATCTGCCCATGTCTTGTCCAACATGAGATTATTGGTAGGGTGGGCCTGCCAGAATGCCCGAGGGTTAGCACCTCTCTCTCCACCTGAATAGAGGGCTCAAAACCACATTAACTGGGAACACAGTAAGGGAGGTGAAAATGATATTTTTCTTTCAGTTCCTAATCCACTGGCATTTTCCCAATTTGTTGGGTAAGAATCACAACAAGTGCCTCTTGAGAAATACTGACTCTCAGGCCTTACCCCAAAGCTTCTAATTTCGGAGGGCTTAGGTGGGACCCAGAAATCTTAAGATCAGGCAAATTTGGGAAGTAATGTTGCAGGACCAATGTAAAAGTGCTTTATTCCACCCCCATCCTCGACTCCAAAATTAAAGCACTATCAGCACTCTGCCATAATAGGCTATAAACTCAAAAGGGACCATGTCTGCCGTGTCTGCCCCTGCATCCCAGCACTGGCCTCTGCCTGCCACAATGCTCAGGCTCAGTTCCTCAAACTCTAGGAATCTGGAACTGCTAGGAGCAACAAAAAGTCTCATGTCACCGAGAAAATTGTGAGAATGTGTCCTGGGGATATCTCTTCCCCACCCGACCTTCCTTTATCCATACCATGGGGCATGATGCTTTTGGTCTGATTGTAAAACATCAGGTAGATTCCAGAAAAGGGTGCATCACGAAGGAGTGTCACTGTCAGGCCACTGAAGAGGCCTCGGTGCCCCTCGCTGCGATAGATGGTCCTCAGGGCTGCATAGACGCTCGCGTAGCCATACCTCCCGCTCTGCAAAGGAAGCACAGAACCGGTGACTGGCACGGCGGCCCTGGGTTTGAGCACTGAACCAAGCCGACTTCAGGGCAGATGGCAGTACCAGGGCACCGGGGACTCTCGTTCACACGCGGTTTGGCCTGCCTGCACGAATGGGTTCTCGGACCACATCAGCCACCATGTTAGAGTATAAATCCAGAGATGACATCAGTGGCCACCTGACACCAAGAGCCCAGTGCTTCTGTTTACCCAGCCAGCAGTCAAACTCACCTCGTAACGTGTCTTGATCACAGTGATGGGCAACATGCAGACCCCTGCAACTGAGCGAGAACCCACCCCCAGTATGACTGACTCCATGGCCGTGGGGGGGTGGCCGCGCAGCAAGTACTGCTTCAGAGAGTAGAGAGTGCCAAAGTAGATGCCAACGCCAGGGACACACCTCACAATGGACTGTGAAAAAGTCAGAAGAAAGAAATAAAACATCCGCAATGTAAGATCCTATCTTAGCTGGGTTTTCCCAAAAGATGGGCCAGGATTTGCATGCAAGTAATTGACTTAGGTGTGGAGGGAAAAGCAAGCAGCAGGAGAGCGAGGGGGACGGGAGGGAAGGCAGCCACTGAAGGGTGTGTAATGTAACCAGTTACTGCCATGGGCAACTTAATCCCTTTGGGGAACTCTGGGCGTCAGTGTAGGAAATGCCTCAGAGTCATCCCTCTACCTGAGGAGGGGCGTGAGGTCTGAACACCAGCTCTCAGCTTTCACTGGTTACTGGCTACGGAGGGGTTGGGTGAGCAGTAATTCCTAGCACTTCCAAAGTGAGCCTCCTAAGGCCAGAAAAAACCTTTAGGCAAAGAAATGCAAGTGCAGAGGTCTCAGCCCACTTGCCCGGAGAGTAGGAACGAGGAGATGTGGACAGGCAGGGCGCCAGCTGTGTGTGCCCTAGAGACTTTGCATCGCACTAGGGCACATGAATGGAACACCCCCGCCCCAGCCCTCGGAGTTAGCAACAGTATGAGAGGCGGGCAGAAGACCGCGAAGTCCTCCTACCGCTTCCCACGCTCACATTTGCTTAAAGGAGAGGAGGATACTTGAGGCAGATGAGAAATGGCTCGATATTAAAGGAGAAGGTGCAAGAGAAGCTCCAAGAGGCAGCTTACAGGAGACATCCCTTTCCAAAGGCCCAAAAGACTCTCCGTGCGGACCACCTGCAGCAGCAGCGCCAACATCCCTACGCGTCTGGCCCTAAGGGCAGACAAAATAAAGGAGGGGAAGAAACAGTGTCCTAGACCGCAACATAAAAGAATACCCTGCTCAAGGACTTCTCTGCATGGACTCTTTTCTAGAGCCCTTAAGAATCTCTATAATGTTTCCTGGAATCTTGGAGGGGCTGTGTGTTCATGACTTGACGTTTAGACAATTATCCTCCCATTCATACTACAAGCAATAGGATAACCTTTCATTTTACATCTTTCTGTTTTACATATATTTTGTATACTTCTCACAGTGCTGAACCCAATATGGGGGCACAAGAGACAATACTTACATTATTTCCAGAAAACCACCCACTATTCGTACCAGGCAGCACAGTTATGCCATTACAGGCTGGCACGATAAAACGCAAATGTCACTGAGGCAGACCCCAGGAAGCTGCTCAGGGAAGGACCCCGTTTAATTAACAAGAAATGTCAAACACAAAAAATACTCACAGAAAAGAATATGCACAAAACCCAATGAAAGTTAGGCATGCCTGTTTCTATTAGCGCATCCAACAGAATGAAAGTTGACTTAACTGAGTAAAGATACCCCTGTGTCTGTGAGAAGTTGCTGAAACCACTTCTTCAGTGAAGCTGGGGAAGCAGACCTTACCCAGGGGCCGAGGGCTGGAGAGTTTGCAGGCGCGTTTTGAGGAGATCCAGGGGCTGGAAAAGGAGGGTAGAGCAGGTCCCACTGATGGAGCCACACAGGAAAGCTTTCATCGCCGGATGCAACTGCAAGATAAGAGAACACCTATCAGCAGCTCTGCCACAGCAAGCCTCACCTCTGTAAGGCTGGCTCTCTTGGAAACTCACCTTGTGTTATCTTCACACTTTAGAGAAGGGAGAGGCGTAGCCAGGAATGAACAGCGCTGGATGCTGTTGAGAACACAGCACACTGCAAGAGGTAGCGCTGGGACTTAGTACTGATACGACTTTGCTCCTACTGAGCAACATATTTATTTTGATCTGTGAATTATGCCACCAGCCACGCCTCCCTATTTGTCCTGACAATAAAAGTTATTGGCCATCTACCTTCGTATAAGCAAAATCAATTGAACACAGTGTTTAACTGAACTGGTTTCCAGGTTCCCACAGCTACAGAACCTACAGCTAGTTACAGGACCAAGGCAAAGGAAATGAAAACCTTAAGCTCAGCCACAATTACAACATGTGCCATTTCCGGTAAAACCTATGAATTTCCTTAAGGGAAAACTTTCCCTTTGTCTAACACCCACCCAGCTTGCTGGGACCTAAGCAGCTCAGAGAGGGCAGCACAGACCAGTGGCCACTCTTGGGTTTGCTGGCTCCTCTTTAAGCCAGGACGGTCACACACACTGGCAGATCCAGACACCACCCTGATGGGCAGGACTCCCTCCCAGACTAAACGTCCTTCCCCCAGGCAGAGCCCTCACAGCAGGCCCCAGGATCCAGCCTCCAGCACATGAGGCCCTGAAAAGGCACTTTAAAAAAATCCAATTAGGAAAGAAAGCCCTCTACTCCAAAGGAAGCCCCTGGCGAGCTCCATCCAAAAAGATCTTCTCTCCCCTTATTATTTTTCAAAAAAATTTCCCCTCATTATTTTTAAATGAATGGCATACTGTTGTCCTAAAACACTATTAAGACGAATATGAAGTTGCCTGTATACACATAACATAGCCAAAATGTTTGTAATCCACGGTATTTATTTTCCAGAAGAGGGATCATTCCATATTCCACCAAATGAACAAGTCTCAAATTATAACTGGAATTACTTAAAAGACTGTTTAGAGAAAGGACTAGCTAAGTTCAGACAGTAAACGCTAGAGCTTATAAGCAGGTTCGAATAGCTTGTAAAATTACCAGAGTGGTAGAACTGCTAAGACAACAAGAGAAACCGAGCAAAATGCGCACGCTCAGTCAACAGTTCACACACTGGCCTCTTCAATCCACACTGCTGCTCACACATATTCCCATGAGGTTTGTGTATCTCGGCCTCGTCGTACACTCTGTGGCATCAATGAGCCATTCTTCCCTGCGTACTCAGCCTCTTCCTTCCACTGGCATCTTCTCCCTTGCCTGGAAATAAGCTTGAAAGCCCCCCTATCTTTCGAGCTGCGTCTTGGCCAGTCACTCCTCGGCACTGTCACCCCTCCCCACCCCCCTTTGCCACCCAGCTCACGCTTCTCCACTGAAGCTGCCCTCTGTGCTCTCCAAGGACCTGCCACATCCCAGGACCCTTTTCTCATCCTTACGCTTCTCTTACTTGGCCTCTCTGGTGCATTTGAAATGGCTGACCGCCTCGCCACTCACTTTTGGGGTTCTCTCTCCTCCTCCGGCTGCCTTTCTAGGTCTCCTTCCCTCTGCCTGCCTGCAGATGTTGCTGTTCCTCTTATCTCCTCCGGCTACAGCCTCTCTGGGCAACCTCACCCGACCCACACCCACCCCTCACGCACACGTGCCGGCAACTCCCACCCACATCCATCGCCAGCCCGTGCAGCCCCTCTCCAGACTGCTATTCCCACGCCTCCCCCACCTCCCACGGACACACACACATCCCAAACTCGACACCTAAAATGGAAACTCAGTCAGCACTTCTGCACACGCCCGCCCCTCCTCTGATCCAGTGGGAAATCTGGGAGATGCATAAGACTCCTCAGTCTGTCTATCTAGTGCTTCATTCTAGTGCTACCAAGTCCTGCTGGTGATAACTTCAAGTCTTCCCAGAGCCGGCCCCCCAACAATCCATCCTAGTGGCCTCTTCAGCAGTCTGCAGCCTCCCTCCACTGTGCTCCCAGCAGGACTGAGGGAGGCCTCTCTACACACGCCTCAAAACCTCATAACACTGTTAAGAGCTAGGTATTTAAACCCATTTTACCGATGATATGGGATCTCACAGAGGTCACAAATGTGCCATAAGTCACAGGGTTTGAAGCCATTGGCCAGGACTCAAAGTTCATGTTCTTTTCACCACACCCCGAATCTGGCGTGAAAACTCAGGACACTTCAAAGCTGCTCGGCAGTGGTCCCCTGCGGACGCCCCGGGCTCCTCGAGATGCTGCTTTCCTCAGGGTTCAGGGATTTCCTCCCCCTTCTCTCCCTGAACCCGCTCTCGCGCCCCTTCACCCACTGCCACGGCTTCAGGCCCTGCCCTTCTCTCCACACTGGAACCTCTCTCCAGAGCTCCTGACCCTTGTATCCAGTCACACAGATGTCCCACAGGCACGTTGGACATTTCCAAACCTGAACTCATCTCTCTCCCTCACCCCCAATCTGCTCCTCCTCCAAGAGTCCCATCCCAGAGAATGCCCTGTCATTTATCTAGCCAGCTGTCCCAGCCAGAAACCTGGGCGGTACCCCTGACTCAGCCTCCAATGCACTTTCTCATTCTACCTCCTACAAGTTCTCAAATTTACCCCTGTCACCCTAGCTCAGAGCCCCATTATCCTGGGTGACTGCCACCACCTCATCTCTTTGATTCCTTTAATCCAGGAGTCCCCAACCCCTGGGCCAAGGACAGGTATGGGTCTTTGGCCTGTTAGGAAATGGGCCACGGAGCAGGAGGTGAGCCATGGGCGAGCAAAGCTTTGTGTGTATCTGCAGCCGCTCCCCAGCACTAGCATCACTGCCTCAGCTCCACCTGAGATCATCAGGCATTAGATTCCCATAGGAGCACCAGTCCCTGGTGCCACAAAAGTTGGGGGACACTGCTTTAATCCATTCTCTACCCTGCAGCCAGAGTCATCTTTTAAAACTGTGATCTGACCACACTGCTTCCAAGTACAAATACCTTCAGTGAGATACTTGAATTAAAACTTAAAAACAAAACAATACCCTTTAATTGTTTCATGTTCTTCCCAAGATAAAGTCCAGACTGCTAACTTCCAAGGTCTTTCATGAATCACCATGGCCCTGCCTTATCTTCTAGGTCTGTGCTCTCAGCCTCCGTCTTACATGCTCAGGGATTTTAATGGACTCTCCTCTTCATCCCTTGAAAACTCTGCCCTACCTCCTCCCACGTCTAATTAATCCTCCAGGGCTTCTGCTTAGACCTTACCAGCTCTGGGAAAACCCGCCCTCAGTGCTTCCACCACACCTGAGCCCATCTCCCTTATGACTGAGGGTCCAGGACAGGAGAGGCCACAACTCCTGCTTATGGAGTTCATGGTGGTATCTCGAATACTGACCACGAAGCCCGGTGCACAGTAGGCGCTCAACTGTCAAGAATCAATCAGCTAACAGGAAATCAACACATGGCTCTCCCTTGACCACAAACCCACAGGTTAAAGCTGGGGGGCCCTGTATGCCCCATCCCCCTGGCTCCCTGCAGCCCTTTGCTCTAGCAAGGCTACAGGAATGACCTGTAGGTACAGCTTCTGAGCAGTTCTCCCAGGTGCTGCTTCCCCAATGCTCATAAGTATCATTATGAAATTTGTTTTGCTGCTCTTTGCTCTGCTCGCTCTGCGCTCTCTCTCGCTCTCTCTCTCTCTCTCTTTCTCTCTCTCTCTCTCTCTCTCTCTCTCTCTCTCTCTCTCTCTCTCTCTCTCGCTCACACACACACCCTCCTCCATTGTAGGAACCATCTTCTTTGTCTTTATTTTCACTGTGCAGTGCTTAAACATAATAGTGGCTCAACAAATATTTGCTGAGCAAATTACTAGTGTCCACACTTTTTAAACTTTATAATTTTCCAGGTCCATTAGCACACAGCAAATGCTAAATATATACTATGTCAATGTAAGAATGTCCAAACCCGTATAGAATTTTTATAAGAATTTGGGCCAAATGGATGACAACTGCCAGGAAACAAGATTTCAGATGCTCTGGAGAATGACAGTTTTGTGCTTTATTTTCTGCATTTGGAATTCAGTAAGGAAGTAAGGAAGATTACATGAAGATGGGAGAGAGCAAGGTGGGAATTGGATTACAGGAGAGTCAACAGGATTATGTTCTCTCTTGAAGGTGGTCATTTCAAAGGTGTGCTAACCTAGATACACAAAAACAATGGGTAGGGCTCGCTTAAGTCAGATAAAACTTTTACTAAAAAAAGTTCAAAGTGCATGACTGACTACCTACCATGACCTGCCCAGTTAGGAATTTATGATCAAATCACCCCGTGAAAATAACCGTGAGGTTATTTTCCATAGAAACCCTTTTTTCGTCCACAACTAGCAATATAGATTAACCTCTAATTGTTAAAAAAAAAAAAAAAAAGCGATATAATTGTTCAAAAATTACACTTTTCATTTCGAATAATCTTAAAACATTGTCAGTGGTGAATGGCACATCTTTTGAGGGCACATTAGATTTTCTAAAGAGCCCAAAGTTATTTAAGGTAAATAAAATGAGTAAACCAGCTTTTTTTTTTTTTTTTGAGGGGTGGGTGGGGCAAAGACAACCAAACAATACTACACAGGTATACAAAGGCATTAACTAGCACTTTAATAGTTAGCAAACAGCTTCTCCAAGCAATTCCCACGTTCCTTTAAAAAAATAAATTGTAAATCCAATTCAGATCTCGAGACCAGAGCTGGAGGACCCAGAAAGAGACAACGGTAAGCACGTTTTCAAAGACGTAAACGTAAATCTGCCATCGCCTTTTATTATGGAGGAAAAAAAAAATCCGCACCCCGTTCACTGCGAACGGGGCTCCAAAGCAATACTTCAGAGGGAGAGGGCCTGGGGCCTGGGGCCGCAGGCCCCCCCAGGCCAAGGACAGGCCGCACTCTCGCCTCCACCCACTATCAGCGGCAACACAGCGCCGCAGTCCTCAGGGACGTCCCCGCCCAGCCCCGCCTTCATCCATGGTGGCCCGGCGACAGCCAATCCAGACGCGTCGCAGCCCCGCCGACCGCACCTGACTCCTCGCAGGCTGCCGCTGGCGATACAAAGGTGACCACTCTCCCCGCTCCGAGCGATCCCAGCTTCCTCGGTCTGGCGACATCACCGGACCTTGAGATGGCCCAGGTATCTAGATGCCCAGGAGTCTTCTCACCTCTGCCACTTAAGGCATCCAACTCTAAGCAACGCCCAGCAGCGATCGCATCTCTTTCTCGGCCTCGCGGGCACATTTCCCCGAAACCCTCCAAGGCCCCGGCAATTCCACCCATCTCTAACGGATACCACTGCGGCAGCGCGACCTTTGCACTGCCGTCCCAAGCGAAGGATGCGCTGCGATCCTCTCCTCCCTCTTCCCTGTCATCTGTCCCAACCAGTCCCCAACTCTGCGCGTGTCTGGGGCGCGAAAAAAGGCTCCCCCCGGGCCGCCTCCCCGAGCCGGCGGCCTAGAATCCTGCCTTCCCGTCCCCGCAGTTTACCATAAGCGTTTCCACCCTGTCTCCGACATCTTGGGGTTGCAGCAGCGCGGCGGGGCGTGACTTCTGAATCATTGCAGGAGGCCTGCGAGCGCACTGGGAGCTCGGGCGAGCGCACTGGGAGCTCGGGCTCGGCCCCGGCAACCTCGGAAGAGAAGACAACGCGATGGCTGTAGCCGGGCGACGCCTTCCAAGCCGGGGCTCTCCACCGTCTGTGCCCGCTGGTGACTGGGACCTGCGCGTCCCGGGGCTGCGAGTGCACCGCCCGCGCGTGGCTCGGGGGTGCCGCACGATCCTGCGCCCGGGAACGACTTGCGGCTCTTCACCTGCTCGGCGGACACCGCGGCTCAGCGGTCCGGCTCATCCTGCGCGGCCACAAGCTTCAGGACCTGAAGCGATTAGGCTGAGTGGAGCCGGGGGTGGAGAAAGCCGAAGGAACTGGATAGAACTGTGTGAATTAGCTTCCGGGGTCGGACGCTCGCCTCCAGCTGGTCCGGGTGTGCTCTTCGGTGCCCTCTCGTGAAAATATCCGGAACTGCAGGTTCCGCGTTTTTCCTGAGCTCAGAGCTTCGTTGGCACTTTATCGGGCGATTTTGGTTTTTGGGGGGGATACGTCGAGTTAGGTAGCCAGCAGCTATTGTGGCTATTCAGCACTTAAAATGTGGCTATTGTGACTGAAGAACAATTTTTTTATTTGATTTCATTTTAATTGGTTTATATTAACAACTGAAGCCATGTGAAATATTTTTCTGTTAAACATGTCTTTATTGTTTTGGCCGACATACATTTCCCTTCAGATGCTGAAAAGTTAACATCAGAATTGACATGTGCTGTAATGTTATCCACATAGCCCAGTTTTAAGATGTGTATTAGTAAGGCAAAATAACTCCTTAACGATTTTGATAGTTTTACATGTTGAAATGATATTTTGGATTTTTGTTTTAGGTGAAATATATTATTGAAGTTACTTTTACCCCTTTCTTTTTACTTTTTAAATATGGCTACTAGAATACTTAAAATTACACCTGTGGCTCGCACTGCTTTCCTATTGGACTGTGCTGGTCCATCTAGATATAATGATTTTATATCTGAGAACCTCGACTCTGTCAATGACCTTTTTGACCTCCCAACTTCCCTTTATTCTTCTCTGGCCTGATCCACTGAAGAGAATTGCTGCTGGGATCCTGACGCTCCTGTTGAAAAAGGCAGACGTACACCTTCAGTGGCTGTAGTTATCTGCAGAATAAATTCCAGACTTTTCATAGTGACAGCCTTCATTACTTTCCACCATTCATTCTTCACCCGGGATATCCAGGTCAGGGAAGAAAAACTGGTGATTCCGGGAGCAAGATGCTAATTTTTAAGGCTTTACTCTTATGCTACTGAGGCACAAGGAACAGACAAGAAAGTGGACTCTCTATACCCAGAGGGGATTAAGCAAAGCATATCTATATCTATATCTAGGTATCTATATCTAGGTATCTATATCTATATCTAGGTATTTATATCAATATCTATATCTAGGTATCTAGGTATCTATATCTATATCTAGGTATCTATATCTATATCTATTTACTCTAGAGGTATCTATATCTATATCTATATCTAGGTATCTATATCTATACCTAGGTATCTATATCTATATCTATATCTCTATATCTAGGTATCTAGGTATCTATATCTATATCTAAGTAAAGATCTATTTACTTAGATAAGTAAATAGATCTATTTACTTAGATATAGATATAGATACCTAGATATAGAGATATAGATATATATACACACACACAAACCAGTTAGATTTAGATATAGATACAGATATAGATACAGATCTAGACATAGATACCTAGATACCTAGATATAGATATAGATATAGATATAGATACCTAGATATAGATATAGATACCTAGATACCTAGATATAGAGATATAGATATATATATACACACACACAAACCTAACTGGTTATTCTTGAGTACTTTGCTACCCCTTGTCTTAAGCTGCAAGGCTCATTTTCTTTGTGCAATGTTGATGACTAAGTGAAACTTCTTAAGGGAAGACCTACTTTTACCGCCCCACCCCCACACCAGCAAGGGTCCTATATCAATAACGAATTGGTGTATTTTAGAGGCTGCTCTCCGGCACTCTCGAGGTGGGGGCAGAGGTGAGACCTAGACTGAAAGCTTGCTGCCCCTTGCTCCACCTTCAGTGCGTATGTTGGCTTGGCTCTCCACTCAGAAGAAATGGTTGGCTTTCAAGGGCAGTTGGCACCACCAGGTTTTCTTCCTCTGTATCTTGTCCTGCCACACTCACAATCCTGGAGCTTAGAGTCCCCTCATCCCCTCCGACCCTCCCATGTTCTTGGGGATGTGAAAAGAGCATCACCCATCAGTAGATGAGTGAAAGTTTGGAGCAGTAGTTTCTTCATGGCAGAGCTTGGAGGAGTGAATTCAAAAATAAAAGGGAAACTATCTGGTGAAAACATTGTGTGTGACTTTAGTTCAGAACGAGTTCGTTAATGTCAGGTAAGGCCTCCCTGACCTGCTTGCAACTAGTAGAAGGTGATTTCGCTTTTATAACCTAACTCTTTCCAAGTTACACGTTGGGTCCCTCAAACCCAATCTGGCCTTCCTTTTTTCTTTTTTTCTGGTTTAGATATTAAGATTGTATGATGCTTTCCCATCTGAGTGGCTGTAGACACTGTCCAAGAAGTACATATATATCGATTTAGATACATGACCCCCTCTTAAAACTTTATTCACAACAACCTTTGACATCTGTGGGTTTCCACCATCCAGGAAGGAAAGGGCTGAAATAAACATGGGAAGCTGAGAACAAACGGGAGTGGTAGAATCTGCTTCAAAGGAAGTTTTGGTTTCCTGCTTCCGGGCAGGAGGAGATGAGCCTCACAGGGCCATGCACCTGGTCACTTCATTTGGAAGAAGATGGCTCGAATGGTGACGAGCACACCGGTGAGCTGCTCCCCATGCTTCCGGGGAAGCCAGCTCAGGAAGACCTTCCCTGTCGGCCTAGGGTCAAAACTGCTTCTGAAAATATCTAAATTCCTTCTACCCTTGTCAAAGTGATGAGCCCGCCTTGGCTTTTGGAAGCCAGTAGGGGGCAGAGAAGGACAATACCATGCACACACACCCTGTTGCCACAAACCCCTCCCCTCCAACTTCACGAGCCTCTTTATGACTAGTGGCCTCCCAGAGGGGCAAATGGGTGTGTTATCATGGTCTCCATCTTACAACTAAGAGGCTCCTCCCATCTGAATATCCCCTCCCGCCCCAAACACACAGTCTGAAAGAGCAGCCTTCAGAGTCTTCCAGGGCAGGCATTCCCCCTGAGCAGTGGCAAAAGTCACCTTCTGTGCCAGGTCACAGATGGGCACAAACAGCAGGAGGAAGAAAATCTCAAATGGCTTTACCAGAAACTTTGGTAACGTTTGCTTTGGCCTTCGAAAGCGAGACATATCCTTCTTCTTTCTGTACCAGTGACCTTTGCCTGCAGCCTCACTGAGCTGAGGATGACAGGGCGACCAGAGAGCGATGAGGTGGAACAGCTCCTGGGCTGGTTTCTGGAGTGGAAGGGAGGGACATTGGGCGTGGAGGGCTGCTGCGATTTCCCCATCCTCTGGAAAGATCAAGCTCCTGTTTTCCTGCTGGTTTCCCAGTAAGAAAAACATAGGCTGCAATTTGGCGAAAAGTTCGTAAACATAAGCACATGTTTTCTGAGCACGTTTTTCCCAGTTTCTGATAGTCTCCCTCACGGGAATGAGCGGAACCACTTGCCGATTCCCCAAAGACAAACGACTTGTCCCATACAAGTCGTGGAAGGCTTTCTTCATCTCTGGCACGTGGCTCCATCTGGAAATAAGCATTTCTGGGTGGTGGTGCATTTCATGCGTCATCTTGATGGGGCTCTAAGGTGGTCGTTTCATCTGAGTCCAATAGGAAAAATCACTTGTTCTCTGGTTTGATCCCAAAGCATTCTTTTAGATCCCATGAAACCAAGTCTGGACTCAAATATTTATAGAATGAGGTTTTTCATCTTATGAAATGTGAAAGGGGTGACATCCAATGAATGCTATTTCTTAGCACTTAATTTGCATACAATTCACTTTTAATTTTGCCTCCTAGTGTAAAAGTGGAAATTCTCCAGTTTCAGGGAGGCAGTATCTCCAGGTGCAAGCAGTAACTCAGTTACAGGGAGGTGATAGCTCCAGGCGCCAGACCCAGGAGAAGCACACAAAGTAAAGGTGCAGATGATAAAACTGTCTACTAGGCCCTGTTTGATCTGAGAGTTCCCCCGGATACATTTATCTTTGTACAAAACGTTAAAGGCTAACTTCTGCTTCTTGTAATCTGCTTATTCAAGGATGTAGTTGGAGGCTTTATAAGCTGCCTCCTCTAGAAGCTCGGGGCTGATCTCCTCTAACCCTGCGTGGTAGAGAGTCAGTCGCCGGCCGGCTAATAGGCTAATAAAGGCTCATAATTAATCTCAATTGGCTCCGTGGGTCTCAGAATCATTCGTGCCACAACACTAGTTGGGTGTCTGTGTGTTTCCAGAGAATACCTCATTAAAATGTAATTTCTGCTTTCTCTTGAGTTGCCACTGATCAGAATTTCTTTCCCTGATTCTGCTCACTCTGGGGATTGTCAGCCAAACTTTATATGGGAAATGATCAGCAGGGTCAGTAAGACGGGAGGGGCCCCCAGATGTTGTCTCTAATCCCTCCCCCCCCGCCCCGTTTGAGGGCCCCACCCCTCAATGTAGGACAACATAGGTAAGTGGGCTGAACATCTTCTAAGATCAGGGGTCCAGGTTCAAAGTCTCTGTTCTGCCAGTAGCTGCTGTGGCCTTGGGCAGGGCATCCTGTATGTCAAGGTCTGTTTTCTCATCGGTCGAAGTGACACAGGACAGGGCAAATTTCCCCAAGTGACGAAGAGACCAAGCTCTGCACTCACCGAGAGAAGAGGGTCCTTTGTCGGAGAGTGTAGAAAGAATTCAATACACACGCCATATTCGGAGTCAAAAGGGAAGTTTATCAGAAAAGGGAGAACACTCGACAGACAGAGTGTGGTCTCTCAGAGGCAGAGTGTGGTCTCTCAGAGGCAGAGTGAGAGGGACGGTGAGAGAGACCCCGAGTGTTCAGGGAATTCAGTTTATATGTCATTCTTCAGTTCCCATGTCCTTTGATATGGACATACAGTGAGGAAGGGGAAGAGTACGTACCTTGAAAAGGTAAGAATATGTAGAGTGAAAGGCCTGCTGGCAGTTCTAGTCCTTAATCCATAGGTTCTCCATGGTTTTAGCCAGAGGGAATGACTCTTGGTTCCTGTTTCCCCTTCACGGGTGTGGGGAATGGGCTGTTAGCGATCTCAGCAGAAATCTTCCTTTGTTCTGCAGGCATCCTCCTGGCCTGGCTGCAGGGCTGATCAGCATACTGCAGTCTCTGATTGTGGCTTGATTAACATTTTAATTCTCTTGTCTCCTCCATACATTAAAAGGAGAGCAGCAGGTCTAAGGCCCCTTCCAGCTCTCTCATTCTGGGACTCTGTGACCACCCTCAAGACTGCCTGGCATCTGCTAAGCAAGGAAACTCAGTGATAGGCTGGCTGGCATCACGGCCAGAGCTGACCAGCCAGGGCGCAGCTGGGAGAA